GACTTTCAGTACCTGGGTGTTTCTGTTGACAATAACTTAAGTTGGTCTACTCATATATCTCGTTTAAAGTCCTACATGCGATGTACCGTTCGTTACTTTTATAGCTTGAGAAAGATTTGCTCAAACGCAACTCTTAAAACTATTTACTACGCGTTGGTCCACTCAAAGCTAGACTATGGTATAAGCTGTTGGGGAGGTACATCTTATAGTAGAATCCAGCAGCTTCTAACTATTCAAAAATGTGTCATAAGGAAAATATCGAATGCAAATCGTCTTCATCACACCATCGACCTGTTTAGAAACCTGAAAATTCTTCCCGTAAAGCATATGTACTACTACAAGGCTTTAAAGATATTTTTCGTTCGCTGTGGTTATTTGCATAGCCTGATCTCGGATAGCTACAATTTAAGGCAAAATTCACACGGACTTGTTTATGTTCCCACATCTCGCACAACTCACTTCAGTAACTTCTTCAGTATTGTTTCTTGCAAGGCTTTCAATGCGCTACCTGGTTCTATACGAGTCATTAGAAATTTGCGTACATTTTTATTAAAGGTTAAATCATTTTTATTAGAACAATCACACGACGACATCAAAATTTTGCTGAACCCTACAACTTAGTAAACTTGAACTAAATATGTAATCTCATGAGCATGTACACCGCTTTTTCATAAACCAACTTAATTAAATTTAAATTTATCTTACAATGTATAGTTTATTCTGAATTTCACCCCACACACTTTTGTTAATGTGCATTAAATTCCTCTTGAGACGGCATTCGATACTAAAATATTAATACTTTTTACAGAATGCCTTACTTTTTCTTTCTTTTAATATTTTATTATAATTTATGTTAAGTTAATATTGTAATTTACATACATATGTTTATTTTGAAAGAAAAATGAATAAATCAATCAATCAATCCTTCTGTGCGGATGGTTTTTCGATTAAAAAAAATTCAAAACTTTTTGCTGTTGTTGCCAAAAAATTAAGACAGTTGAGATGTCACAATTTCACAATTCCATAGAGTTTTCTGTATATTGTATGTCACTAAACTACTAAACAGCTGGACCGATTTGGTTCATACTTGGAACATATATCAGTACCTTGGAAAGAAATATTTTGGCAGGATCGCCGTGTAATAATGTTGGTTGATCGAAATAATTGAAAGATCTTTTCCGGGTAACGCATATATCAACCCCGATTTATTCAACTCATTTAATAAAGGCATAAGGGTTAGTGTAGTGTAAGTAAAATAGTGAGAAGGTGCTAGTATAGAATATATAGAGAGGAGGAGGAATCCACCACATTGAGGTACACTACACATCCTCGGGCGGACAATGCCAAACGTCGAGTGACCAGAAGACATCGCAAACTGCCAACACCAAGTGCGCCTCTTTTTTTTCACCAGCGGCGAGGTAAGGGTAGCCATCGGGAAGGTGAAAGCCTCCAACGCCATAGGACCCGGCGGAATTTACAAGCTGATGCTGAAAAATTTGAGTCCTGCGGAAGTGTACTATCTAACCAAGGCCTATGGCCACTCTCATCATTCCAGACAACTGGAAAATGAGGAGAGTGGTCCCACTGCTTAAACTGGGGAAACCGTCCAACAAAGGAGAGTCTTATCGACCGATAACCCTCCTTTCCCCGGTAGCGAAGACACTAGAGACCCTTCGACTCTTCCGCTACACAAACCACCAGACCTCAGCGAAGCATCAGCATGGTTTCCGCAGAGTGCATAGCACAACAACAGCGGTTAGCGCCATAAATACCCAGATAACTCTTGGCCTTAACCGAAACCGCCCAGTGAGAGAACATTCCTAGTAGCGTTGGATCTGTCAAAGGCGTTTGACACCGTCAGTCACTCCACGCTACTAGAAGATATTGAGGCCTCCTCTCTCCCACAGGGACTAAAACGGTCGTCGGCGAATTATCAGAGTAGTCGACATTCGTCAGTAACCTTCAGAGACAAAAACAGAAAACCAATAAAAATTAAACAGAGGGTTTCAAAGGATGGTATCCTATCCCCACTACTGTTTAATTAGCATATTTCTAAGCTCCCTCAAGGGAGTCTCGATTGTCTCTTGTGCTGACGATTGCTCAATAATGGCTTCTGGGAATGGAATTCATGACTTGTGCTCGAAAGTAAACTGTTACCTCGCCGAGCTTTCTCGCTTCTCCACAGCAAGAAGCCTAACCCTCTCCCCTACAAAATCTTCGGCAGCCTTATTCACCACCTGCACGAAAGAAGTCAGGCTGCAACTAGGTATTCAACTCGATGGGGAACCAATACCGACACCGAATAACCCAAAAATCCTTGGAGTCACCTTCGACAGTATGCTCTCCTTCTCGGCGCACACAACCGCAATTGTCAACAGAGTACAGAGCCGCAAAAAAATGCTCAAGTCGCTGGCCGGCAGCACTAGCAATTCCATTCCGAGATGCCATTATCGGGCAGACAAGACAAAGAAACGTTGCTGGCAACATACAAGGTAATTTGCCGGCCGGTTCTAAAATACGCAGCGCCCATGTGTCCACTGTCTAGCAGAACGCAGTGGACGAGGTTACAGATTTGCCAGAACACGACACTCCGGACCGCGACTGGATGCCTTCTGATGTCGCCCCAACACCACCTACACGACGAGGCTCAGATGCTCCCCATCAGGAAGCATAACACAATGCTCTGCAAGCAGTTTCTAGTAGGGTTCCGCACACGTGGTCACCCGAACACACAACTGTTTGCAGAAGATCACTCGCCAAGGCACGTCAGGAGGCACCTCTACGAACTAACGAGGATCATCAAACAACCTCTGGACTCAACTGCATACAGACAGGCCCTGAACGGAATTCACAGGGAGTCGGCTTCGATTTATATAGACTCTCGGCCTGTGAATGACGTTCTGGGCACACAACTACCTGACGTGGACGGGACAGAACTTTGTCTGCCTCGGGAGACCCGCGCCACTATAGGCTAAACTCATACCTGTAGAACTTCGTCTGCCTCGGGAGACTCGTACTACATTAGCACAACTCCGCTCTAGGTAATGTAGCAGGTTAAATTCCTACTTCAACAGGATAGACTGAAATATGCCCAGCATATGTCCGGCATGCGGAGTCACCCCATGGCAGCGATGAACAAAGTTTCGACTATATGGGCGCAGGTGGATATCGCGATATCGCCTAATCAGTTTAGGCGCGTGCATGCTAAAAATTGTTAGCAAAAAATGTGAGTACCCGTTCGTTAGGTCTTGAAATAGACTCATGTTTTAGAGAATTGCATGTAGCTTTTGAGCATATAATTGGATCTTTTCGCGGGACTTTACAAATATATGTAATTTTCGATTTTCTTAATGTTTTCATTTTCTCCTTATTTTTGCGTTATTTCGCGTAAACAGGTAATAGCAGTAGAGCAAACACAACCCTGGCATGTATTTTGTTGCTGCTGGAGAAACCTATAATGCCAAATCAAAAGCAAGCAAAAAGGATGCTAATGTATGTGTATGTGAATGTGTATATGAATGTAGCAAAGTTTGACAGTTCAGGTTTTTCACGAAATAGAAAAAAATCCAAACTGCAGCCCTGCTACTACTACCTGTTTAATGTGCTTTGGTGTAACCTTTGTATTTCTGGAGTGGAAAGCAGAAAACAAAAATTAACCAAAATTCCATCACACTTAATGGTTGGACCCACATATTTTGCGAGTTGTAGACGTTGTAGTGATACAATCTTGCCCATATTTTATATTTAGGTTTTCCAAATCCAAGAGAACTAAATTACATCGAAATCGGATGAAATTTAATGTTTCCGCTCACAGGAGTGGAGGGCGTGGCAATTATCAAATATTTACCATATTTCATAATTAGCTATTCCTAAGAATGAGTAGAGCAAATGTTAAGTTTCAGTGCAGTCAGTGCACGTTAATTATTATTTCCACTGGTTCCACATAGTCGATACACTGTGCGATGTGTTGAAATATCTGAGCTATTTAACACCTACTTATCTGTCCCGATATATTTGTAGCTGCCATACCTAAATAAAAGCGTAAGCATTGACTGGTGTCAAATAATTCCCGTGCCCATAAAATTTGTATGAAGCATATCGAAATAACGCGGCGGCAACGCGTTAGGTATTGAAGTTGACTGCATAAAACTTCGAAACTGTCATTTTCGTATTTCACACAAACAAACCTATGCTTACTGTTTGTGTTATTTCTGCATTTGACGTAGCGTTGTCGCTACCCGTCGGCTGTAAGGTCTTGTCAAATGTGTAGTTTAAAAGGATAAAGGCCACCGTCAACGAACTAATAAATCCACTAGAAATCAGATATTCATAATCCGCCGAATCTTGGAAAAGACCTGCAGAGAAGTATCGAGGGTCTGCAGGTGGGCAAAACTCATGTTGCCTTCAATTTCAGAAGATCTATCTAGTTTTTTGCTCTCACTGAGCAGACGGGGCTCGTGGCACAAACACCTGACTGCCATAGGCGTACATGAAAACTCCATTTGCCCATCCTGCCTGGGAGGAGGATGAGACGGTGGAACACTTTTTGTGCTTCTGCCCCGCCTTTGCAAGAATAAGGTATGAGACATTTCGCCGCGCTGTGTTGAGAGACGTAAATCGTCCAGATTTAGAACAGATTAAAAGGGACATGAAAACAGTATAATGGACGTCACGTAGTCCCAGTGTTGTTTTTTGCACAAGTTGTTTTGTGCCTGGGTCCGACAAAGAAAAAAGAAAAGTACGCCAGAGGACGATAAAGGCTTTTGTTGAATCCATCGTAATCTGATATTCATCAAGTCTACGAAAAAGTAATCACTGAATCAGAGTCGCTGCGAACCTATTCAAAACATGCTACGTTCGTTACTATTCGGATTCACTTGTAACATTTTAGTAGACTTCGCGGAAAATCAGACTACCATGAATTCCGAATTAGACCCTGGATGTGTACACCTACGTTACGTGTTATTATAAATATATTTAAACTTCAAAAAAGTACTTACCAAAATTTTCTACCCTACTTCCTGTATCGAGGGAATGTACTAAAAAATCAGTCAATGCTTCGACCTCACTCTCCTTTTGTTGGCATGAGCTTTTTGAATTATCATCAGCACTACTAGCTTCTATACTAGAGAATGATGGTGTGTTGCAACCGCTGGTACTGATGGATCCGATTGTTGATATATTTCCTCCACTTTCACTCGTATTTAACTGTGGACCGTTGACGTATGGTACATAATTTAAGTAGTTTGCATGCGATGAAAGTTGACTAGCTGGGCGTGGAATTATTGGTTCATATATAGATTCATATGTCGACGAACTCTAAAATAGTAATAGTTTTATGTGGTAAATTTGTATGCAACAGACTATATTTCAAATAGATGAGGACTGTAGCGAAGCTTGCAAATATAATATGATGATTTGCCTTTAATTTATACATAATAACCAAATAATATTGCTGTCTTCGTTATAATGCCGAAGTTAGGTAATCAAAAATGTTGTGACTTTATCCCAGTAATAATGCCTGCAATGCAAAGCTATATTAAAAATTACTGAAATTCTTACGTGTATTCGAAGGAAAGATTCTAAAAACGTATGGGTCATTACGGACAGGGCCGTAGCCAGAATTTTAAATTTGGAAGTTCGTGCCCGTATGTTGTTGGTTAGTCAAATATTAGTGGCATTGTTGTACTATGATAGCACGACCGAGTAATCATAGTGAACTTACATATGTACAGCAGTCGAAAAAATTATAGCGGCACCAAATTTTGACCAGTTTTCAAATATGTTTTTTTTTGTTATTTAATTTTGGTTAGTTTTTTATAGTTCATTCTCTAACATCTTCCGTATAAATACAAGTTCAAAGGCAGTGTCACACCGATCACGCCCATTCCGAAATTCGATTTTTAAGTCCCGAACCTGCCCATCCCGACGTTTTTCAGAATTGTACCGCATATCCCGTGGGTCCCGAAATCTATCTCTAAATCAGGCTACAAACGGACAACAAATTGAAACGATCGGTTGAGATTTAAACGTGTGTGGCGTGGTTTGCAAACCGATCAAAGGTTGACAAAAATGTTCATGTCTTTCAAATTAATTTTAAATTATAATGAAATATCTGGCATCCTCCGATTATTTTGTTTTACTTTGGTGTTCGTTTTTGTCTCAATAAATAGTTAATAGAGCATATTTCGTGCCGAAATTTGGTGAAAATCGTATCCCAATTGTGTGAATACAGAAAACTTTATCCCAATCACGCGAAATAACAAAGGTTTACAAAAAAAAAGTGTATGCATATTAAACCAAACCTATATATCCCTATGTTATTTGACACGCTGAATGCGAATCCGAAGCTCGTTAGTCTCCATCACGTCAGGTTCGTGGTCAGTTGAAGGTCAAGTAAGGAAAAATTCATTGAATAAACCTGAAAATTCATATATATAAGGTTATAAATTCGGTGAACCCGAACCCGAGGTCCGTTACACTCCATAATGTCAGCTTCGAGGTCATTTGAAGGTCAAATACGACAAACAATTTATTAAATAAAAATAAAAAAATTTGTTTTTGTTGTCGCTGAAACCGAGTATGGGGGGTCCCTTGATTTCTCAAGGTCATCTAGAGGTCATGACAATGTCATCCCAAGGTCAAATTAGGGTGAATTTTATTGAACCTGAAATTATTCAATGAATTTTTCGCTAGTTGACCTTCAAATGACCATGAACCTGACGAGATGGAGGCTAACGGACCTCTGATTCGCATGCAGCATGTCGAATAACATAGGGATAAATAGCTTTGGTTAAATATGCATACACTTTTTTTTGTAAACCTGTGTAATTTGTTGAAATTTTTCAATAGAAGATTGCTGTATCGTCCCAATTTTTTTTATTTTGTACCAATAGCCCAATATAAAATTGTACAAATGTACCAATCGAGTGGCACTGCCTTAAAAATTTATGCAATTAAAAAAATAAATAAATTGTACAAATTTTCGTAAAAATTTTTGAATATGCAGTTTTGTAGCCCATTGAATTCTAGTGGAACAAAGTACAAGTTTCAAATGGCTAAAAATTACGGTTGTTTTTTTAGATTTTTTAAAAAAGCTCGAAATTTGTACGAAAGTTTGTTGAATTTTTTAATATTGCACAAAGCTGAAAACTTGGGTTTACACGGGTTTTGCTAAACAATGAACTATATTTAAAAAAAAAAATGTACCAAAATTAAATAAAAACAAAAATAATACGTTAAAGCTTGGAAAAAACACCTACAACAACAAAATAATCCTTAAAAACATTTAATGTAATTCCGGCGATAATTTTGAAAACTCCACCTTTTATCTTTTTACTAGTTTCCACCATCTGGCACTATCGTTAATCGCATTGATTTTTTCAAGAAGACCATTATACCAGGTTTCCTTGCTCCTCTCACACTTCTTTATAAAATTTATTCGCTTCCAGGTACTTTAAGTTATTACTTTCATTGAAACATTTGAAACATTTTTTGAGAGCACGTAAGCTTTGAAGATACCACTCATTTATTGTCGCAGTTTTTGACTTTGGTTGCTTCCTTACCGAAGAAACCTCTATAGCTTTCTGTAAATCTCGTATTTCTAGTGTCCTTTCTATTTTCCCAAGGTCCTTTACCTCTTTAGAGATTCTCGTGATATTTTTTGAGAGCACGTAAGCTTTGAAGAGATTTGGTTCTCGCCTCCTTGCATTTCTCATCGAACCCTCATTTATTGTCGCAGTTTTAAACTTTGGTTGCTTCCTTACCGAAGAAACGTCAAAAGCTTCCTCTAAATCTCGTATTTCTAGTGTCCTTTCTACTTTCTCAAGGTCCTTTACCTTTTTATGTAGATTCTCGTGATACTTTTCTATTGTTTGGCCACTCCAGTTTAATTAAGGCAGCAGTTCACATGTTTCCAACCTTTTTTTTTTTTATTTACCAAGCGTAAGTTTGATTGGTATATGATCCGACCAATTTTTAAATTCCACTTCAAAGCTCTATATCACACTCATAAACGTATCTTTATTAACCAAACAGTAATCTATTACTGACTCACCCACTTGACTGACAAACGTAAAATTACCTTCTAAGGGCGGTATTGTCACTTGCGAAGCGAATGAATTTGGCGAAGCGAACGGTTTGGCGAAGCGAATGGATAGGCGGGCGCAACTTAAATATGCATTAAGAGTGTTCGCTTTTACCAGCTTGTGCAAGTTCTTCGCATCGCGCATACTTTTAATACCTTCTCTGCCTTTTAATTCCCTTCGCCAAACCGTTCGCTTCGCCAAATTCATTCGCTTCGCAAGTGACAATACCGCCCTAAATCTCCTTTCGTGCTTTCGTTTAAAACAATCAACCCGAAATCCTCACACAGAGTTAGTAAAACCTTCCCTCTTGCATTTTCGATCTGGTCTTTTGAGTTTATTTTTTCAACACATGTTTTGCTGATTACTACCATCAACTTTTTGTTGACACTCACCAATTCTGGCATTCAAATCCCCTATTGAAATAGCATTAATGACATTGGTTTCTAGGAGAAATGATGTAATAATATTTACTTCTTTTTGCCATTCTGCCTGCCGAATATACACAGGAATTAATGTTAATTGTTCAATTCCTTTTTTTATCAATATGGTATCTACTACACATAGGTTTCTAAAGTTCCACTGATAGTTCAGTTTTTTTAAGTTTGTGTTATTTCCGCATACCACTCCCATAGTGACTAACACGAACAGAAGCTTTCCAAAAAGTTTCAGAACCACCAAAATACCTTTTAAACATCTCAACCTTATCCTCACATATATGTGTTTCTATCAAGACAAAAATATCAAAAGATCTGATGTATTGAAAAAATTCTGGGTGCAAAGATTTATTCCTCAGTTCGTGTATATTATAAGAGAGTATAGTTAAATTTTTAAATTCTTTAGTGTCAATAACCTCCTTTTCATTAACTATGCCTTCACATTTGTTTACCTTTCCCCTTGCAGTGCTGTTTTGTTTGTTCAAATTATATGTTTTATCTTTTGTTAGTTTTTTCCGTTGGCTTTCATAACATTTGTTTTTGTTCATAAATGGTTAAAATCAAAATTTACATCATTTAAACTGTTTCCATACATGTTTGACAATGTGTGAGGTAGTTGTGCCCGCCAGTTTTTTTAATGTTCTTGAAAACGCCACGAACCGCATCCTCTGTAGAAAATTCAGCCCTGACTGCCATTATAGTTCCTCGCACGTACAGCAATCTCACGCCTCGAATATTACTAGCTTGCACTCCCAATTTCTCCTCGCAGATCTGCTTCACAACTTTCTCCGAAATTTTTCTTTATCAATTCCTTTGAATATAAGATTTTTCCATTTAGAATCCTCAATGAAACTTGTCATTTCTATCCTCTCGCTGCTTTTTTCAGCATGCTTAGCTCTATCTCCAGCGATCTGTTATTTTTTTCAGTTAACTGCTTTACATGTTCTGCCAGACTATCAACTTTAGACGACACCATCAACGGATCTTTCTTTGTAGCCAACTTTTGCAACTTCTCATCCAGCAAGCCTTGCATGAGCCGTATTAGCTCACTTACGTCTAAACTTCGAACTGATTTATTTTTTACGCCTACAGTTGTTTATGGAGAGATTTCAACAAGCATTTTTTTGGAGTTGCGGATGACATCCCTGTCGCTGTTGCTGTCATTTCGCGTTGAGGTTCCTTCTGGTTGAAAATCAGCTTCGTGGATACAGTTCAACAGGTACAAGACCAATGGTGGCAAATGCTGGTGCTCTTTTAATCGTAGTTGATTCCCAAAGCATTATTTATGCTCGTAATGATAATGACGTTATATCTCAGGTTTAAGAGTTTGCATTGCACCTTATTTAGATGTTTTTGCCAGTTAATTTCTTTGAATTTCTTATTATTTAATTCAGAGTATCAAAAGTTGCACGTCTATTTGTTAACAGAGTTACCAGACTTCATCCTTATTATTAATATAATATAAATTATAAATGGAAATCAGTGCGAAAATTATTTTCTTTATAAAACTAACAAAGCGTGTGAAAATCTTGAATCAACCAAAAAATAACAAATTAAAGCTTAAAATGCATTTTTATTACCTTTTTTTACGTTTTGATATCAAGTTCTAAGTAAATTTTTTTTGTGTTTAAAGTAGGCTGTGTTGAATGCACTTTCAAATAATTTGCGATTCATAATTCAAGTGTTTGGTAAGAAAAATATATAGTAGAACTCATCTGCTTTTAATAAAATTGTTTTATATGTTAAATTTTGTGAGTGCTTAATCTATATTATGAGTTATTATTGAGCAGTCTTAGTC